AAACAATCGTATTAAGAGCTTCCACGGAGCTGTATTTAGTTCTTCTCTGTAGGACAGAAGCCTAGAAATGTAATTTTATTTTGAAATAAATGATGGGGTTTATCACACATACATAAGAATCTGAAAGAAACCCTATCAATTTTCTGTGAGAGATGGAAAAAAAAGTCATATGACCCAGCAGACTGAGATTCTTTCCCCCCCACACTTCCCAGAAATAAAAGGTTTTAAAGTTCAGCTGAGTTCAGCATAGAAATAATAGATACCATGCTGGGAAAATATTTTGACAGAGTTACCGATAAGACAAATGAAACTAATACATATTACCAGATATAAACTGTTTCATGATTATTTGTGTATCTCATCTCCATAGAAGTTCTTGCAAAGGGCTTATGCACTGTGAGACTCCAGTTGATACAATATAGTTATACAAATGCATAATTATTCATAGAACTAGAGTAAAGATCCTAGGGACTAATTTTCCTGCAGCAATAATAATTCAAAAACCTCCCACAACAATAATTACTTAAATAACCTCTGAACTAGAACCAGAACATCTGAATATTTGTGAAGACAGCTTGAAAGGAGGAAAAAAAAAAAAAAAAGAAAAAAATCTTATTTGACGCATAGGAAATGGAACACACCAACGTTTATCTGAGGATAAGGAAGGAGGAACCCAAGACACACCTCTCCAACCATGTCTTTTCACAGTCCTCTAAATACATTTCTGGCACTTATCTCAAAACCTTTGTAACAGAAAATAATACAACTGCAACACCAGCATTATTTTTACTCATCTGCACTGAAATCTGTCCTCCCCTTTACAGAATTTCTTTTCATATTTTTCTTTGGTTGCCAACATTTTGAAAGTGGGTATCTGCAATTTTTTTAAACTCATGTTTCTATGCCTCACATCTGGAAACTTTGTCTCACCAACCTTGTCCCCTCCTCACCAAATGACAAGATGACCTGTGGCATCTCTCCATCTACTTTTATGAACTGCAAAACAGCTTTAACTTACTTCGGTAAAACTTGAGATAATACACAGAGAGATTTTACCCCTGGCATATAACTAATTGTATGAACACCATTATCTACTTGTTAGTCTGTGATAGATCCATAAAAATTGGGTAGATGAATGGGGAAAACAGCATTGTTATGTGTCTTAAATTTTCCCTTCCTATGTAGCAGAGCATATCGATCCCCTAAAGTCTGGTAAAGCAACTAGTGACAAGACAGATCTCAGGTGCAGGGAAAATACCAGGAGATACAACGTACGTACTTAGAAAACCCCACAGGAGCACAGAAGATAAGACGTATGCCTCTCTGCAGGGAACTTTCTGAGAAAGAGGTGGCGCAGAGGGTGTTCTGCAGATGCAGGAGGTTTTCTTATACATTTTACACTACTTAAAAGGCAGAAGTTCCTACATTGTTCAGTTGGAAGCTATTTCCTTTTCTTGCACACAAAACCTCGGAAAACCCTTTTTTCTCCTTGCATTGCCTTCAGCGTTCATCGTTTGAAATGCTAGAAAGTATGCAGCATCACATAGCCAACCTTGTACTTCATGCAGCTGCCTGTAAACCCTCCAGTTTCTGATTCATGCCTGCAATACCATCCACTGGTGCAAAAGCAAAAAGATCAGTGAGGCTTCAAGAACAATGTCTCCATTCTGAGTATGTTCTTTTGCACTCGATATTTTACTTGAATGAAAATGACGGAACATAAAAGAAATGAAAAGACAGAACGTAAACCACAACCAATTTACAATGAGACTTTGCAGTGGAAATATCCAACAGGTAAAAGGGAATATGGAATCTACTTACCAACCAAAAAATAGAAAGGTTCTTGTATACAAAAAGAAACACCCCTCTGAACCCCAACCATAGAAGTAGATAACTCGAAATAAACCATTTTAAGCTGGAGAAGGATTGAACTAACATTGACTGTACAGCACATTGCCAATACCCTGCAATTCGTTTTCTGTATCCTTTAAATATGACCACAAATTATTTAATTTTTCTATGTTCTCCGAGTCTCATGGCAAGCAGCAAAAGAGTATGCACATTTGATCAACAATCATCAGCCAAAAATGATCGGTCATTTTCCAGATATCATCAAACAGCAAAAAAAGGCAAAGCATCGATGTCTTATTAAATTTCACAGGCTTTACAGCGAGAGCAGTATTGCAATGGTTCAAGGCTATGCGGGCAGAAGACGTTCAAGATGTCCATCTTCACCAAATCACCTCAAAGCTAACGTGCTCTGACAGTCTCGCCACTTCTTGATCAGACTTAGAACTGTGTTGTGTTATGCAGTTTGGTGTATGCCTTTCAGTTTTACTCTTTTGAAGCTCATCAAGCTTTTAAAAAACTTTCCAAGTGCAATCTTTTGTCATAATGAACATGTTTAGCATTATTGTGAACCCCAAAACATCCATCCCCAGGTTTCAAACAAAAGGTTAAATACTAAAGCAAATTCTGCCAGGGTAGATGAATGGATGAAATTCAGTCTCTAGATAGATGCCTAAACACGAGCTGCTTATAAGTTAGGTTTCTAATCTCCTATCCTAGTTAACAGGGATTTAGTGAATATAGTCAGAGGAGTCTAGAGCTATCTACCTTATCCCATATTAGATTATAACACTTCGTCATCTGAACGGCTCTTCAGGTTCCCTTGACAGCATTGATCTGATCTCCAGTATTGATCTGATCTCCATCAATTATAACAGCAGTTTAAGTGACTGAGGCTCAAACGATTTGATAAAGGTAGGAGTCTGGCCATTTGTTCTTCCCTAGAGCATAAATGACATGGAAGCGGGGCTGGCAGGTACAAAACAAGACCCATGGTAGATCCAAATGCCTCTGAGGACCTCTGTTCAAATGAGCACTGGACCTTGTTACTGTTTTGTGCAGTTTAAAACAGCACGAGGCATCTATCTTTAAACAACTGAATTGAGGCCCCTAGTTTACCTACTTTTTGTACCTATGTACAGGAACCTAAATTTAGGTATATTAATCTGGAAACCGAATCCCATCCCTTGTATCTGCCAAGATCAGCTTGGAAGGCAACATTTAATGCAACTTCATTCTCAAAATCTACCATCCCAGATGTGTTTAAGTTAGAAGTACTTCACCTTATGTAACTTAAGTATACATTTAGTTCTTACAATGTTTACTCAATAGCTGTAAAAAATAGCTTAGATTGATGACATTCCACTATAAAGCAGGAAAATAAAAAAAATATAGGAATTGTGCAGCTCAGATTAATTAGAACATGGGAAAAAAAAAAGGGAAGAAAAAAAGAGGAAGACAAATTCAAAAAGGATACCACGGTAACCATAAAAGCAGATGCTCACACCATTATGTGATTAAGTAAACACGATGAAACTATATTAGCCATCTTCAGTGTGGCCATAAATGCCTACAGTCATTTAAAACTCTCCTTCCTCTGTAAATGTGGGCAGAAATAAAATAAGAATGTTTCTGGTCCAAGGGCAAATTGCATTGTTACCAAAAACCTGTGTACTTAAAAAGAGGCACCACAGTAAAATAGGAAGCCACGATCCATCAGTTCTCAAAGTTTTTTTGAAAGACCTTTAAAGATTTCACCTAACAGTCATGGTTCTACAAAGCAAGATTCTGTAGGAAGCAACCCAGCAAGTCCTCTTCCACCACAGCCTCATCATGTGTCATTGAATGCTCTCTTTATAATTTCTAACCCATAACCCATAACACAACAGCATAGACTTTGCTTTCATTCATAGTACAAGAACCTTTCCACTATCAAAACGAAAAAAGCCATAAAACCCAAAAAGCAAATAATATATGCTTTTAAATTCTGCACCATCAGAAACAGCTATTCCTTGAGCTGACTCTATTATATGGAATAATATCTTAAAAAAATCACAGTTAATTTTGAGCAATACAATAAAAAGACTAAAGGACTGAAGTCTGGGCTATTGATACTGCATTGTACCACTACCAACTAACTAGAACAGTACCAATGAAAATAGCAATATTAAAGGTTCAACATTGAACAGTCTCTTCAACGTTATTTTGATGATTCTCGCAAAATAGGATCACAATGTGCCATCTGATACTCCGGTACCAATGGCAGACAAGAAACAGCAAAGTATAGGATGCTCAGTTTGATATCTGCTTGCAAATATTTCCGTTTTGTAAAAGGTTTTTGATTTTGCTTAGGACTTTTTCACACATGCTCCAAAGGACACAGTGGTAGTACTTACGAGTGGTAATACACAATGCGAGGCAGAGAGAATTTTCTGGGATAAATTCCACAGAACAAAGGTTATGCACTACAGGTTAACACCATGTTGAACAATTTCACACCTCTTGAAACCTTACACTGATAGCTGTATTTAAGACACTGCAGACACGATTCTTTGTATGAACAGCAATAGTACTAAACTCAATATTTTCCCAACACCTGAATATTTAATAGCTCCAACAGCAAGCAAAGGCCTTCAATAGTTTAACCCACAGAGCAAACAGACAACCGCACATGAGTATCTGCAGGTAACATCCTAACAAACACAATAACAACCATCACACAGGGGAAATCACATTGAAAAGTAACTGTATTCTTCTTCATGAAGAAAATAATTCTAAGGCCATTTCCCACTTAGTTTTCATTTAAAAAGTATTTTAGCTCGGAAGGAATACTTGTTGGCTATTTATTACATCAGAAGAAACTTTAATGCTGAAGCTACAGGGAGCATGGAGTTCCTTTGCAGGCCAAAATTAATTCCTGTGAACCTCCAATTGTACCAAACTTCTGCCAAATGTTTGCAATATATTAAAAAAAGTTAAATAATTCAAGTAGCATTACCATTAAAAGGTTAAATAATTCAAACAGCGTTACCTTCACTCCTGGTATAAAGACGCATTATTGGTTTTGTTAATTATTAAAGTCATAGCATTAGCCTCAGAAAGGTTTAATCATCTACTGAAAAAGAAGGCAGTAGTGAGAGCGTGTAACTTACGTTATTCATATACTCGCTGAGCAGGTCCTGCAGGGCCTGGCGCACGGCATTGCACTCGGCTACGATTCGCTCCCGGCGGTCGTCTCGCGTGCACGAAGAGTCTGCCATCAGCGCTGCCCCGCTGATGATGCTCTCCAGCCTTTCTTCAAGAGATGGTCTGAAGCGGGCCTCGCTGAAAGTCATTGGGTCTAAAATAATTTTGTTCTAAAAAACAAAATACGAGCGGGAAAATTAGGAGCATGCGTGGGTCTTCAGGATTTCTTAAACGTCTCTTATTTCAGCGGCTTCACAGTGCTCTCAGTCTTTCATATCAATAAGTTATTTACCAAATTCCTGAAAAATCAATATTACAGAAGTATCTGGTAGCCCTGAAATCCCAATATATAAATAAAATAAAAAATAATTATATCTAAAAATAATTCACAACGTATAGTTACAAAACTACTGTCAAGAGTAGTACAACTGCTTCAAATACGTATTGGGAAGCGCATACTATAAAAGAAATCAACACAAACTGCAATATGGGTATGTGTCTCTACTTCTATATATTATATGTATATATTTCATCCTGAAGTACACTAACAGTATTCTTTCCTGAACCTTCTGAAAATTTCTTGGATATTCAGGAAATTCATATGAAAGTTGCAAGTTATTTATGACTGCAGAAAAAGTGGAATATTCTCTTTTAACTAATTCCTTCATTTTGATCATTTTTATTAGTAGACTACACTCCTGAAATGCTACTAGATTGCCTTAGTATTAAATTAAAAAAAAATTGAGGAAATTGTCATTAACACTGCAAGAAAATCATTATTAGATAATCACACTTAGACAAAAATGGCAATATTTCTGATTCCCATTCTGTAGCACATCTTTTAAAAGCCTTTTTCTAAAGGCTTTTGCAAGCTTTTTTTGTTGGTTTTTAAATCAGGAAAAAGTGCTGGATTACTTAACTAAAAAGAGCACTACAGGAAGAGTCTAAAAACATCTTCAATTTGTCAAATAGCTTACTGGTTAGCAAAATATCTTGATTCCACTAGAAAAAAAATTGATTTTCAAAGATTGTTGCGTTTTAAAGACATTTTAATTCTTAAGTTATGATCATTGCTAAACACTTGTGTACTTTATATATCAAACTTACTACCAAATATCAAATAGGGCTAAAACACATAAGATTCCACCCCTATCAGTGTAGAACCTTTTGTAATATCATGAGTTTTGAGTCACTGCTAGATTATATTGACTTGCTTTTCACCTTTTGCGTTCAAGATAACAAATACAACAGCAATAATCGCCTGCTCCTACTTACAGGCACATTAACACCACCATGTAATTCAGTAACCTTTTGCTGCAATCATGCAAAGAAGTTTCATAATTGCATATTGTCTAAAAATGCTCTGTAAGCTGTGCGCTTCTTACTTGAGCTTTAAAAGAAAATAAATCATGAAATAGGAATTAAAAAGAAGTAATCTGTTTTCTAATAATCACACCTATCTTAAAGCACACAGGATTTTTGCTAATGAACCATGTTAATTTTCACAACATTTTGATAACTTTATGATTAGTCTATTTCCTTTAATATCCAAGAGCAATCAACAAGCTAAATGATACAGTTAATTTGAAAAAAATACAAGAGTGTATTAAAATGTAAATCAGGATTTAGGGACATGATACATAACCAACATCTGCCTCTAATGCTGAAAACTGCATCTGTTTATTATGAATCAGAACATGCTGAAATGAACTTATTCTAGGCTAAATTCTGATTCCAAGTGAGTATGTTTTCAGGACAAGGCTTTTACAAAAGATCTGCTTATTTCTCAGTAAAACTTCCAATTAACTCCACAGACGGAAAACAGAACTCATTACTATACAGAGAAAGAGGACCGAGCCATGAGAAATCTATAACTTAACTGAATGTGTAGTAGTTAAATAGTAATAAACGTAAGGATGTCAAGAAATTTATGAAGATTCATTATTTAATAAAAAGGACAAACAGAAGAATTTTAACTAGCTAGCATATTGTTCCAGCTCCAGGAACTGCTGACTTAGCAGAAATAAATGCAGCATTACCCAGAATGTGAAATAATATCTCGCATGTATCTTCTGGGGCCTACGTTTCACAGCAGTAAGCAGAGCAGTTTTACAATCACCTAAATCACAAATAAATTCTCTAAAAGTTTGGCCTACACATATTTACGTAGCCGTGCGTTGCAGTCAAATGACCATACTTGGGATTTTCAGAAGTCAACTATATAAATTCATCTTCACAACAGCATCTTCAATTTAGCAGTAGCAAGGCTGAAATTGTACCAAATTAACATTCTTAGCAATTTATGCCATTAGCAAGAAAAAAAAAAATTTAAAAATTAGCTGCATGTTTCAGATTATTTTCAGTGTTCCCTTATTCAAATCTGCTTGTGTTTTTGAATGACCATAAAACGGTCATGGTAATAGCCATGTGGTGTTTGGGGTTTTTTCCAAATGCCCATAAAAATGGTTGTTAACCAAGACAGGAAGTACTCTATTAGAGAGGATTTCCAATAGCCAACATAGATTCTACTTGTAGCAAAGCTCTTTCTCAATCCATACACTCAATCAAAGCACCTTCCATACAGCGCTATTGCACTTTTCATGTTTCAGTTATAGCAACATAACCAGGCCTTCCAGAAAGGCCTCACTTTTCCTCCTCTTCCCTATAGACATAGGTCTAAGATTCTCTACCTACACAGCAAATATCAAACAGCAGATCTGACACCGCTCAGCAAGTCATGAATCATATTTTTCTTCTTTGAGGTTTTTGAAGACTGCACTGTGAGACCCAAGGACCTACCAAGAATGTATTCCTGGAATATTTCCATCCTTTTCAAGCCCTGAGGATGAACAACCTGCATATCAAATATCTCTATCTCTGATCACTGAAACCCAGCTCACTAGTTTCACAAGCACTTATGTCATACTCCATGAATAAATTTAGGAAATTCTGCACAGGCTACATGCAAATACCATTTACGTTTTAAATAATAAAGTGTGTATCACTGAGGGCGTATAATTAATCCAAGCCAGCTTTCCTCGCTGTAAAACATAGAAAAGGAATATATTTGTGGGTTTTTCCTCTAAATAAGAAGAGATCTTTACGACCACCAAACCTTAGCTCACGAAGAATAAAAGCCACTGAGTTGCACTCAGTAATTTGTCATCCATATGGAAACGCAGAATCGTTTAAATTGAAAAAGACCTTTAAGATTATCAAGTCCAACCGTTAACCTAGCACTTCCAAGTCCATCACTAAACCATGTCCCTAAGCACCACATCTACACAGCTTTCAAATACCTCCAGGGATGGGGCCTCAACCACCTCCCTGGGCAGCCTCCTCCAGTGCTTGGCAACCTTTTCTGTGAAGAAATTTTTTTCCTAGTATCCCACCTAAACCTCCCCTGGCACAACTTGAGGGCATATCCCACAATTTTTTTTTTGTTTATAATTAATTTCTAGGCTTAAGAAGTCAGTTAAATATTTGTTTGGGATATTCTGTTAATGACAATTCAGAATCACAGAGCTGGAACGGACTTCTCAAGGTTATCTGCTTTAAACGCCTCCTTAAAGCAGAGTCAACTTTGACATCAGGCCAGGCTGCTCAAGGCTTCATCCAGTCAAGATGAGATCTCCATCCTTGGAGATTTGCCAAATCTCTCTGCCCCTTGTTTCAGTGTTTGATCACCTTCATGGTGGGTTTTTTCTGGTTTGGTTTGTTGAGATCCAAACAGAATCTCTGCTGGATCTGCTCAAGTATGTTCATAGAATCATCGAATCGTTTAGGTTGGGAAAGACCTTTAAGATCATCCAGTCCAACCATTAACCTAACATTACCAAGTCGTTAAAGTCTTCCTTGCACTGGGAAGCCCTAAACTGGATCTGGAAGACCTGATGCAGTTTCATACGTGCCAAATATCGGAGCAGAAATCTCTCTCCTTTGCCTTACTGCCTACAGTCTTACTAATGCAGCCTCGTAGGTGGCTGATCTGCACAGCCGTGAGTGCACTGCTGCCTTGGGTTGAACTTGCTGTCCACCAGGAGCATTAAATGCTTTTTTTGCCCCATTGCTTTCTTAACCCTAACATCACACAAAATGACCAGGACTAACTGTTGGGCCTCTCTTAATTCAGTTTTATAACAAGAAACACCGCTGGGAAAGAAAACCTTAGAGATTCTAAGGAAAGAAACAGAACAACCACTCTTTGTTTAAAATATAATAAATAATGATGTAGTTACTTTCTGACAAGTGGTTATAAATAAATGCTATTCTAGATGTTTATTTTAAACTCTAAACGTTTCTCAAATATCTTACAAGGACAACAGGTTTTTGAGCTTTGGGAAAAAGAGAACGGGGATGAGAACCTGCTACATGACAGCTCTCGACATTCAGTTCCCAAAGAGACACTATTTTTTGCTTATGAAATGTTTTACTCCTTTTTAAAGAAAACTTGGTATCTAAATGCAACTTCAGACTATGTTATTGACACGTACAAAGTTCTTACACATATATTAACATTATATTAAAAAGGAAAATAATGTCTTCTTGGAAGGAAGAAAAAAATAGTTGCCAGGAAATCTAGCTAAATAAATTCCTTCAAAAGTCTCAAGTTCCCATCACTTCTTGATAGCTCGTTAACGAATGCTGAATGTAAATGAATTGGAACATTTTACATTTCTAATTAGTTAACTAACATTGCAGCCATAAATCAAGGACTGACACCATAACTCAGGCCTTAGAATGAAGTGTTTCAAGCCTCTTTATAAGTGCAGACAATTTAGTGTAAACTGTATCGTTGCTATGAACGTACATCATTTTTGGCTTCAAGTTGCCGAAACAAAGTCCAAGAAAATTAATTTAACTATAATTGGAGACTTATTTGAAAACTGTTACACTTGTGATAATATATTCTTTAAGCATATTGTAGTTAACTACTTTGTCTTGTAGTCTCCATTTTATTTAAATTATATGAAGGTGTGTTTATAGAGTGGTTGCAATGTTTTCATAAAGAATAAAAACTTTCAGAAAATAGACCTCTTCATAATAATTAGTACTATAAGCCATCTTCATCTTGCTCAAACAGAAATAAACTATCATGAATGCTAATAAACTATAGGGCAATACTTCTGAAATTTAAAATATCAGACAAATTATTCATACCTCAAGTAAA